AGCAACTGATGCTCATGATGCTCTCTTTGCCTTGCGGCCCGTCAAGGACAGTCACACCTGATGCTCATGATGTTTGTTTTGCAGGGCCCGACTCTTGAAGGAAGTCGCAGCTGATGCTCATGATGCCCGCTTTTGGGCACGATGCTCGTGATGCTCCCTTTGGGGGCCTACCTCCTGAAAAACACTGGCAGCTGATGCTGCTGATGCTCTCTTTGGGTGTTTGATTCTTGAAGGACACAAGCAACTGATGCTCATGATGCTCTCTTTGCTTTGGATGATGTTTGCTTTGCGGGGCCCGACTCCTGAAGGAAATCGCAGCTGATGCTCATGATGCCCGCTTTTGGGCACCCGACTCCTCAAGGACGGTCACGGCTGATGCTCGTGATGCTCCCTTTGGGGGCCTACCTCCTGAAAAACACTGGCAGCAGATGCGCATGATGCTCGATTTGGGTGATGCTCTCTTTGCTTTGGGGCCCGTCAAGGACAGTCACACCTGATGCTCATGATGTTTGCTTTGCGGGGCCCGACTCCTGAAGGAAGTCGCAGCTGATGCTCATGATGCCCGCTTTTGGGCACCCGACTCCTCAAGGACAGTCACGGCTGATGCTGGTGATGCTTTCTTTGGGGGCCTACCTGCAAAACACTGGCAGCTGATGCTCATGATGCTCGCTTTGGGTGTCCGATTCTTGAAGGACACAAGCAACTGATGCTCATGATGCTCTCTTTGCCTTGGGGCCCGTCAAGGACAGTCACACCTGATGCTCATGATGTTTGTTTTGCAGGGCCCGACTCCTGAAGGAAGTCGCAGCTGATGCTCATGATGCCCGCTTTTTGGGCACCCGACTCCTCAAGGACAGTCACGGCTGATGCTGGTGATGCTCCCTTTGGGGGCCTGCCTCCTGAAAAGCACTGGCAGCTGATGCTCATGATGCTCGCTTTGGGTGTCCGATTCTTGAAGGACACAAGCAACTGATGCTCATGATGCTCTCTTTGCTTTGGGGCCCGTCAAGGACAGTCACACCTGATGCTCTTGATGTTTGCTTTGCGGGCCCCGACTCCTGAAGGAATTCGCAGTTGATGCTCATGATGCCCGCTTTTTTGGGCACCTGACTCCTCAAGGACAGTCACGTCTGATGCTCGTGATGCTCCGTTTGGGGGCCTACCTCCTGAAAAACACTGGCAGCTGATGCTCATGATGCTCGCTTTGGGTGTCCAATTCTTCAGGACACAAGCAACTGATGCTCATGATGCCCTCTTTGCTTTGGGGCCCGTCAAGGACAGTCACACCTGATGCTCATGATGTTTGCTTTGCGGGGCCCGACTCCTGAAGGAAGTCGCAGCTGATGCTCATGATGCCCGCTTTTGGGCACCCGACTCCTCAAGGACAGTCACGGCTGATGCTCGTGATGCTGCCTTTGGGGGCCTACCTCCTGAAAAACACTGGCAGCTGATGCTCATGATGCTCTCTTTGCTTTGGGGCCCGTCAAGGACAGTCACACCTGATGCTCATGATGTTTGCTTTGCGGGGCCCGACTCCTGAAGGAAGTCGCAGCTGATGCTCATGATGCCCGCTTTTGGGCACCCGACTCCTCAAGGACAGTCACGGCTGATGCTCGTGATGCTCCCTTCGGGGGCCTACCTCCTGAAAAAACACTGGCAGCTGATGCTCATGATGCTCGCTTTGGGTGTCCGATTCTTGAAGGACACAAGCAACTGATGCTCATGATGCTCTCTTTGCTTTGGGGCCCGTCAAGGACAGTCACACCTGATGCTCATGATGTTTGCTTTGCGGGCCCGACTTCTGAAGGAAGTCGCAACTGATGCTCATGATGCCCGGTTTGGGGCACCCGACTCCTCAAGGACAGTCACGGCTGATGCTCGTGATGCTCCCTTTGGGGGCCTGCCTCCTGAACAATCACAGGCAGCTGATGCTCATGATGCTCGCTTTGGGTGTCCGATTCTTGAAGGACACAAGCAACTGATGCTCATGATGCTCTCTTTGCTTTGGGGCCCGTCAAGGACAGTCACACCTGATGCTCATGATGTTTGCTTTGCGGCGCCCGACTCCTGAAGGAAGTCGCAGCTGATGCTCATGATGCCCGCTTTTTGGGCACCCGACTCCTCAAGGACAGTCACGTCTGATGCTCGTGATGCTCCCTTTGGGGGCCTACCTCCAGAACAATCACAGGCAGCTGATGCTCATGATGCTCGCTTTGGGTGTCCGATTCTTGAAGGAAACAAGCAACTGATGATGCTCGCTTTGGGGGGCCCCGACTCCTTCAGGACAGTCGCGGCTGATGCTTATGATTCTCGATTCTCCTTTTGGGGCCTGCCTCCTGAAAAACAGTGGCAGCTGATGCTCATGACGCTCGCTTGGGGCGTCCGATTTTTGAAGGACAACAGCAACTGATGCTCATGATGTTCTCTTTGTTTTGGGGCACGCCTCCTCAAGGACAGTCACAGCTGATGCTCATGATGTTCGCTTGCCCGCTTTGGGCGCCCGACTCCTCAAGGAACGACGACAACAACGAATACTAACAAGAAGGAGAAGAAGAAGGAGAAGAAGAAGAAGAAGACCAAGAAGAACAACACGACCAGCAATAAGAATGACAACAAGAACAAAAACAATAAGAAGCATAATCAGAAGAATGAGAAGAAGAAGAACAACAACAACAACAACATAACAAGGAGGATAAGCGAAACACAAGAAGCCAACGACAACAAAAGACGATACGAGACAAGCAAAAAACGGAGAGCAAGAAACAAAAACAATGAAAGGCAAGAAGAGGCTAGCACAAAAAACACAGCAAGAACAAGGAAAAGAGACAAACGAAATGCAACAAGACAAAAGCGATGAAAGGCAGTCAGAGACAAGGCGAAATAATAACAGAGCCAAGAAACAAAACCAAGGAAACAACAGGGAACATTCGAACAGCAAGACATGAAAGAGCGCAGGCACAGGAACCCAGAAAACATGAACTCATGTAGCAGCTGCTTCTGCAGCTCCTTTACAAGAGCCCACAGCAAAGTCTCCTGAAACCCCAAAGTTGGACCAAGCAACCAGCACCGCTGCGGCCGAGCCATTCTCGGGGCAGTGTGCCGCCAGGGGCTGGCTGCGCCAAGTTGTCGCAGGGTCAGGGCCTTTACATGGGGGTTTCCGAAAGTGGGGGGTACCTTGTTCGTGTTGGGTCCTTTTATTAAGGGAATCCTACTATTTAGGGGTGCTATTTTGGGGGTCCCCTAGTCTCCTAAACCCCCACATGTGAGGTACATCGTATAAAGAGAAGCTCTGTGGGGAGCGCATGCTCCGCGGAACCCCTCTATGAAGCCTGTCACAACGTCCAAGATTTGAGGACCCTTTTGCAACCCCGTTGAAACATACCGTTCCGTGACGTTCCGCGTGGATTCTTGACTTCCTCTCCCTTTTTTGTTGCTTTTCCGGCCGGCTTGATGGCTTCTTGAGATGCGGTGCGATCTACGGATTCTACAGTGAAGCTACAGGTATGTTCCCGTATGTGTGCAAGGATGACGCTCTTGAAAGTGTCGCAGAGGGCTTGGAGTGGTGTCGGGGTTGTCGTCTGCTCTTCATATCTTCGCACCCTTGAACACCTCAAATCGGAATTGGTTTAAGAATGTTTCAGAGTTGTTCTTTTACCAGAATAAAGATGAAGCAGCTTCGCGTGGGTTCGCGAATGTCGTGCATGCGTCCCTTGACTTGAGGACCTGAGAGCCGTATGCCTTCATTCCACACCTCTTTGCATGGGGTCTTAAGTCCAGTTGGGGGGTACAGATATTGAGCGCACCGGCCCGGCACATTCACTTTCAAGTCATGACTTACTGTGGCAAGAGTACTCTGCGCCATGATCCGGGTTTAGGGTTTAGGGTTTAGGGTTTAGGGTTCTGCATTGAGCAGTTGACATGCACTAAGCAGACCGGGCCTGGAGGTACCATGCGTGGGAGATCAATAGCCTGGCACGGGTTTCTGTGTGGTGGAGGGTTGTGGAATGTGGAGGCTGCGGTTTTGGGCCGAGAACCTCACGTTCTTGAACTCTGGTTTGAAGTTCAAAGTTCCACCCTCTGTAGTAACTTTCGTCTGGGTTCCTACTCGGGAATTTGCGCTTGTTTGGTGGGGGGGTCCTCTACAAAGACGTTCCGGGTAGGGCTCAACTTTGTAGGGTTGTTGACTTGTTCTCACCAAGCGTTGAGCTTGCTATAAGGCCAGCCTCAGGTAAGTTCCAAAACCCCAAAGCCTGGAACCCCAGCCGCGGCGAAACCTTCGACTCCTAAAGCTAGGCCTGAATCTTACTGGCCCCAAAACCCAAGGAAATAAAAGTTGAAACTTTCAGAATGAACGACCTCATAAGAAGCCCAGAAGTTGAAAAGTTGGGTTTTCAGCCAGTAAGGAATTTCAAGATCTTGAAAAGTAAGATGAACCCTTGCCCCGGCGAAACCAAAACAATATGCTTGGAACCCACGTCGAAAAAACTGTCCCGGTTCAATGCCGGCAAGGGGGTCCAGAAGCCTGCCCGGGTCCTGAATTATGGGCACTATTTGGGGCCCTCTGATGTGGGGGGCTCGTGCCCCTGGCTCTGTATTTCGAAGCCCTTGGTTTAAAGGCGAGCCCTCTGCAACAACAGAGGCCAAGCTCTTAAAATTAGCTTCGTGGGCCTGACTTGAAAGACTGGCCTCTTGTTTTCAAGGCTGCATTTGATTTCAAGGCTTGGCCTGTTGGCTTAAACGGGGAGAGAGACCGTCATCCCTCTGGGGAGGGGGTGGGTGGGTGTGGGGCGGGAGTGGCAGGGTGGGGCCGGGTGGGGGTGGCTTGGCCCGCATGCTGTCGGCAACTGCTGCTCGGCGCAATGAAGCTTTTTGACATCTTGACATGGACTCGCCGCTAGATCTTTCTTTGAAGCGGCGACGTTTACAAGAACCATCTGGTCAGGGTGAAACTTACAACCTGAGGGCGATGACATCTTTTCGCAAAAGGACCTCGCAGCATATCATGCCATGATGCAGTCGTCCTTCACGCGGGCGTGGGCCCGCGGCGCATTCAGCAACCTTCTCCTGCCCATCTTCTCCTCCTGCAGGGCGCCCCAGACGTCCTGCTTGACGTTGTAGTTGGGGTTTGCATCTACGAAGAGCCTTAGCTGCTCTTGCTCTTGCCGTCCTTCTGCAAGACTCTTCGAAGCTTCGGAGCCTCGAAGCGCCCTTTGAAATATCCGACTCCTCCATACCCTAACCCTTTTACCCTCAACCCTATAAAGCGAAACCCTGTAAGCCCCCATAAGCCCTAAACCCTTCATGAACGAAAGCACAGCCGCAGGTTGGCATTCTGCTCCGGTCGATAGCAGGCCAGTCTCAGGGTCTCCTTGTCCTGCTGATGCACCCCCGGAATTTTCGGACTTTTGTTTTGGGGACTGCAGAGCTCAGATGACTCATACATGACTCATAGATGACTCATAAAAGGCTCTAAGCCCTAAGCCCTAAGCCCTAAACCCTAAACCCTCATAATGAATCACTCATCCAGACCCATCCTGCTCCGTCATGTTCGCGATCGGCACGTAGACAGGAGGGTCCGGGCACCAAACCCTGGGTGAGGTGGTTGAGGGTTGAGGGTTTGAGGGTTGAGGGTTTAGGGTTTAGGGTGGCCTTCAGTTGTGAGCCTCGAAAGGCATGCGGATTCAAGACGATATCACCTGAAATCAGCTTAGGATCATCTCCCGGGTGTTGGCGATGTCATTCGGATCCTTACAGACGACCGGCCGCACCAGTGAGTCAGCCTGGGAGGGGTCGTCCTTGTAGAACCTGCGTGAAAGACAGAGGACAAGCCCATCGGACTGTGCAAATGGCTGCTAATCTAGACTTCAACCAACTGCCGGGAAGGATCCTCCATCCCCACAGCACATTATTTACGTTTTTTCGCAAGCCATGCAACTTTTAAATTGACAACATCACACCCGCCCCCCCCCCGCCCCAACCCCAAGCAAGATGTCGAGATGCATGCGTAGCATCTCCAGGTTGAGCATTTGGTCGGCAGGTGTCTTGGCCGCGGGCAGATGCTTCGCGACATCCCTAGCCACGCTCCTGATGTCGGCTTCTTTGCTCTTGGGGAACTGGGGGCTTCTTGGGTCTCCTCATCAAACATGTCAAGATGAACTTGGGTCTGGCATAAGCTTTGCAGTTCAGCTACTGACATCTCTTTCTCTCCCTCTCACCGGACGTGAGGCGTGAGGGGGGTTGACGCGTTCCTGCACCTGTTTGAAGCATACTTACGACTACGGACGTATGGTGCTAAGCTGCTACGCCCCTGAACCGCAGCCTGGCTTAGCATCTTCGCGTTGGCACAGGCCAAGGCTCATTGTGTGCTGGTATCCGCGGGACACTTGTGGACCCAGATCCTCCGAGAGAACCAACCTTGAATGGGTCGCAGGTTCAGCTTTGCCTGTGACTCTCTTTAGGTTTGGGTACAAGCAGACTGCACATCTGGCGTACCGTATGATGTCATTGAGTAGTGTTGGATTTAACAAGGGGGCTCTTCAGGACCGTGTGACTGCTTGGGGGTCCAGAGCGGGGCCCGCAAAAAAAGTCAAATCGTCCGGTTGGCGCGAGAAACATTTCGTGCAGCGGTCCCTTTGAAATCAATTTGCCAAGCCTGGCTGCCGCTTTTTTAAACTCATTTAAACTACCTCTCCATTAAGATCACATAAAACAGGGGACCGTTTAAAGAGAACGACAGCCAGCTTCGACTGGAGGGGGGGGTGGGGGGTGGGGGTGAAGATGGGGGAACTCACTAAAGCAGGTGCAACATTAGAGTCATGATTGCAGAAATCGTTATGATCAGCATGACAGCTCCAACTTAGCATCAAGCTCGTCAAGGGTATGGTTGCTTACTTGCACGATGTGGGGCAAAAACAGGAAGACACTGAGTGCTATGACAGCTGCTGCTATGATTCCCGTATTCAAAGAGGGCAATCCTGAACTGACCATGCAGCCTTCAATCTCAAGCAAGGCGCAAATTGAGTCGCCGCAATGTGAACGCATGGGAACGTGTGACGCTTGGGTAGGCATGATTAAGGGTTCGGAGGGGATGGCGTACTAGACAAGAACGTGAAGCCTCGTAGTTTGCGCGCTTAGTTGCTCGGACTTTCTCAAGTCCCCTAAACCCTAAACCCTAAACCCTAAAACCCTAAACCCTAAACCCTAAACCCTAAACCCCTAAACCCTAAACCCTAAACCCCATTAAGCCTGGTCACTGTCCATAACCCTCCTTCCCTAGTACACGTTCAACCTTGTGCACCGCAGCGAAGTTTGGAGTTTCCCTAATTAAACCCTGAACCCTAAACCCTAAACCCTAAACCCGGAGGCGAAGAAAAGGGCTTGTGTGCAGCCCGGGGAGCGGATTCGGCCCCATGCTCTGGAAGACTGCATCCAGGCTGTCCCACTCGCGCCAGCCGTTCACCTCGCGCATGCCCGGGAAGTCGTGGCTGCTGTGCTGATCTTCCTTCCTCGGCTCTGAGGGTTTCGGGTTTAGGGTTTAGGGCTCAAGCTCTGGGAGCTGAAGTCTTGTCTCAAGGTTTCTTCAGGGCCCAAAAACTCGGGGAACAAGCGTCCAAACCCAGGGGGGCTGAAAACTGAGCTGGAATGAACAAGGAGGAAATGCTGGAATGCCCTGAAGAAACCCACAGGATAAATCCCGAGAAGCCCTTTGCAAATCCTTGACCAGCCCAGGGTCAGAAGAAAGAAAACAACAACATCAGAAAATAAAATGAATACGCAGCCCATGAGACTCACACAGGCCCGCAAAAAGCTTCGAAATCCAGGTCCCAAGCAAAAGTGGAAAAATGAATCTTAAGCACTCAGAGCGCAAATGTTGCTGCCGGGGGTCTTCAGCCTCTGAAGCAGGGCGCGGTTCTGGGCCTCTGCATTGATAACAGCCTGCTCCAGTGCCTCCTTCCAGCGGGCTCACACTCTAGGACGAGGAGGATTGGTTTGGGGTTGAAGTTTGAGTGTTTGAAGTGCATCAACAGAGATGCATGAATGTAAAAATGGGGCTTAGGGGCTCACGGCTCACAGGATATCTGAGGAGATTCCGAAGGTCCTTCGAAAGGCCCAGGCAAGGGTCCCTGAAAGGTTGTCCACTTGGGTTCGCTGCTTGGGGATTCCCTGGGGTCGGTTTTCGGTTCCAGGAAGCGGGGCGACCGACCTGCAGCTTTGCTTTTGTTGGTTGGTGGCAACAGGAAACTGAAAGGGAGACGAGCTTCGGAGCATGACCCAGTCCGTGAGTGCCCTTACTGACGGAGGCCGTCGACTTCGCAAGGTGGGCAACGCCCCAACAGTTGTTGTTTCGATGCTGGAATGCTCGAACTTTGCATCGGCCACACAATCAGCAGCATCGGATCTCGTCGGCAAGTGGGGATCCACGACATGGTGTTGATGATGCTCAATCTTGGGAGGCCCTTAGCCTGAGGATCTGGGAGGGCGATCATCTTCCACGCTTCGCTTTTCTTGGGGGTTGCCCGGGCATCAGCAGCATTGCAGGTTGGCTTGGCGGAGGCGGGGCCACCGACAACCTCGTCGAGCGAGGTCCTATACACACACACAGAGACACAGACAGAGAGTCAACACAATCGCACAGTCAACACACACGCACACGTGCACAGTCAACACAGACGCACAGTCAACACAGACACAACATCAAAACAGACTCACAATCAACACACATGCTCACACGCACGCACGCAGAGAGAGAGAGAGAGAGAGAGACAGAGAGAGCGAGAGTTAACACACACGTACGCAGACAGAGTCACTTACACTTAAACTTACACTTGCACACACAAACAGAGTGAGTCAACACACACGAGTTCATAGACCAGCACGGTATCCACCAGCAGCTTCTTCATAACACCGAGCATAAGACTCGACATGACTCGACCTTATGTCAAGACCGATTCTGTTGAACCTGAGCCAAGCACTGCCCCAAACCCCAAATCCCATCTTATGAGGGTAATTGAAAACTTGCATGCCCATTGCCTCTGGGGATCCAGAAGGGAAGTTGCCCGTGCGGCCGGACACGCGATGCTCTAACTCCTGAGACTTCGGGAAGCAAAGCTCTCTTGCTCTGGCTCTTTTGTTCTGTCTGCCTGTCTCTGTTGACACTTTGTACACCCCGTTTTCCCATTCAGAGGTGGGCATGTGTCAGTATGGGGCCAGGGTATGGGGCCATGAGTTGTTGCTTCGCTTTGACTCGCCTGCCCAATTGAACTCGTCAACTGCGCATCCTCCAGTGACTGAAGTCATGCAACCCCTGTGAAGGCCCAAAGCTTGTAGCCTACTATAGGGTGGACGGCTAGAAACTCGAGGCAGTACGGCGTAGCACCCTAAACCCTAAACCCTAAACCCTAAACCCTAAACCCTAAACCCTAAACCCTAAACCCTAAACCCTAAACCCATCAGTTTAGAGATGCAGGGTTTGGGCGTCAGCTGCAGGCGAAGATCCAGCGGTGGCCCTGCCTGGGGGCGGCGTCCCAACTTCATGGCATCCTGCAGTTGCTATTTTGTAGCTGGGGCTTCGGGTCTGACTTCGTCCCTCTGAAATTCTGAACCCTGAAATACGTAAGCGTCTATTCGCCCCTCTGAATTCTAAACCCTGAAATACGTAAGAGTCTAGGTCACCTTGAGCGAAGCAGACCGACTCTTTTTTCGATGCACTTGGGCTTTAGATGGCTGGAAGCATGCCCATCGGCGAACAACCCTCAGCCAACAGCGTTGCATCCCGAACATGGCTCATCTCTGCAGGAGACTGTGAGAGGGCACCTCACCCAGAATGATCCCTCAAACGTAGACAGGATACTGGCAACGTCGCACGAAGAACATGGGCAGCCTTGCACTGGCAAATCGCAACAACGAAGCCCATGACTTCCATGCAAGGTGCACCTACGAAAGTTGTGTTGGCTCTACGACTCTAGACTCTAGTTGAACCTATATGAACCTACAGATACAGAAAGCACGTAACCGATAATGATATGAGTCGAAAAAATTTGGTCTAAAGCTGCCCACCAGGCCCTACCAGACCCACAGTCCGTACCCAGGTCCTCGTCCGGGCGCTCACCCAAGGATTCGGCCTGGCAGCAGCACCACTACCGACTAACGCGGGCTCCTGAGCATGGTTATGCACTCTGCGCACGACACGGGTGACTTCAAAAAGTGGCCAACCAGCTCTTGGTCTTTGAAGTAAGAAACTAGATGTCCTACAGGTCATAACAAGAACCTGAGTTCAAAAGCCCTGCGCCGTACACCGTACGCCCTAAAGCCTACTAAACACTGAAACCTCATGCTGCGAGCAGTTGCAGTAGTAGTTGTGAACATCGTACTTTTGTGCTCGGAATGGGTGCCCCCCCTAGCCCCTGCCAAGCCTCAGGCATAATCTGTGTTTCATGCATCATCAGCCGGCACGCAGAATGTCGAGTGACTTGCAGTCATGACGCTGCGCTTCTGGCTAACCTTGGGCCCTTACATCCAAAGTACACCTGGCACAAAACTGCCCTTAACCGGGAAGCCTCTGTCACAAGTCGGTGAGAGAGGTAGATGCCGCCAAGTACGCGCCCCTCCGGATTCTTGATCTCCTGTGAGGTCGCAGGGCTGGGGGGTTGCTGCTACACTGCTACACGTCATGAGGGAAGACATGCTCCCCAAACCCTAAACCCTAAACCCTAAAAATGCCCAACTCTGAAGGGATCGCCTTGTACTGCTTCACCGTGGGCTTCCAAGACACTTTGATCGCATCTGTGGCTCCGATGAGCTCTGCTGTGGTGGCCGTACCCGATCTGCGCACGAAAATGATGTATGGGCTTCTTTTCCTACCTTCAGTGATTCAGGGCTGCTGTTGTCGGAACCACTGTGATCCCAGCTCGGATTCTTTGAAACTTAAGTCTTTTCAAGCCTTGTCCGCAGCAAAGTGTTTTTCGCAGCTAGCAGGTTCGTTTGCATTGCTGCATGCGCCCATTCAACGCTCTTGTCTCAGTGCTGCGCACATCCTGGCACGCACGCCCCATAACGACCTCCTCCCACTCCGCGAGCGTTTCAAACCATGCTCTCACCTTTGTCCTTGAGCACATCACTCGAAAAGTGCAAAGCTGTCCTGAAGGCCCCACAGAAATCCCCAGCGCTAGAACAAGAACTATTACCATTAGGCTAAGGTTCTAAACATGCTTTGATTGTGAAGGTTTGCGAAGGCACTTGAGCCCGCGGGGCGACCCTAGGACGTTTTCTGTAACTGACCCGTTGGCAAATTCCCAATGCCGGGAGGCTCGTTGCGCTTTATTCGAACTGTTCAGATGGGACCTTGTAAGAAAACCCCTCCTTGGATAACGGATTCCGAACCTGCCTCTTTCCATAGGACAGGGCAACCTTGATGTACTGCGTGCCTTGCAAGAAGATGACATCAGAAAAAGACGCAGGGGGGGGGGAGATGAGTAGAGTCGACCACCCTGTTCATGCATTTGCTTCCGCCCGCTGCCTTCTCACTCCAACAAAAATAAAAGCCGTCAAACAGCCCCTCCCCTCCCCCCCCCCCCCCCCCCCCCCCCCCCCCCCCCCAACAACGTACATTGTTCCACCATGGATCACCATGGCAGGGCCGGCTATAAAGTCGTCAAGGGGCCCTCCTGAGCATCGCCCCCGAAGCGAAGCGGAGCCTGACAGGGCTCCATCTCAGAGCTGACCGTGTGGGCTTTCTTAGGGTTTAGGGTGGTTATTGGGCTAAGGTGTTGCGAGCCTCATTGACCTGCGTGCCTGTGCTGTAAGCGTTTTGGTTGGCACTCCAAGAGAGAAGAACATGTTCTGAGGAGAATGACGGACGGAGCTATTGCAGCACAAAGCTTTCGACGATTGGTCGGCGTGGACCCAAACGGTGGAAGGACTGCGGAAGACCACAGCACAAAGTGTTGCAGAATATTGCATGTAGCGATGAAAACGACAAAGTCCCATTTCCACAGACGACACGTGACCTAGTCGAGGATGCGATTCTGACACGACATGTGCACAGCTTGTACCGGCCAATCCCTTGCTGTTCGGGTACTTTCGGCTGTTTTGTGGCCTGGTACCTTGGTTCGTCGGCTTTGGCGGGATACGAGTCTGCTTTGCATTCGGGCACGAGATGATGGTCGGGCGTGGCAAAGATGCAGCGAGGGAGCTGCAACTATCATATTGCGTGTACAACCATCATATGCGTTTCTTGGCCAGGCTGTGTCATGCCGACCCCCTTCCGCTCCTTAATCGTTCCCTGTTGGCGCGTGCTATCTTCTTTGTCTTCTTGCCTGGGTCGACTCCCATACCTCCTCCATTTCAACCTCTTGCTTCTCCTGACTCCGCTTTGCAACAGCATGTATCGATGGACTCGTGCCGCCTGCTGATTCTTGGCACTTGATGCTATTCTCAACTACAGTTCTCGACCTGATGAGCCGAAGCAAAAGTAGCACGACCCGTGATGATGCGGTATTTAAAATATAATTTTAGTCTGACGGTCGGCCCGCAGTTGTTCAGGTTTTGTGGTTTTCATGGCTAAATGGAATGCGGTCTCGAGTAGTGCCCTGAACCCTAAACCCGAAACCCTAAACGCTAAACCCGGCTGCCTGGACAAAGGTGCGCGTGTGCTGCATGTCGACTGAAGTAAGCTGGCGGCCGATCTGTTCCTGCGACCTCACAAGCAGGCCGGCTAGAGCCTAATACAGGGGCCTGAATAATTGAAATAGGGTTTTGGGGGTTATCGGGTTGTTATAGTGTAAGTATGAAGGGACCCTAAGGGAATACCATTTGTCATTATTCCGACCCCTATATTATAGCAGCAAGAGATCACTACTACACTAAGATCACATGCGGAGCACTCTTCTTCCCTGTGCTGAAATGGTGGGTGTTGGGCTGCAGGCTGCATACACACGGATGTCATATGGCCAAGGAGCTCAAATAGGCCAAGCCTGCGCAGCTCCCGGCCCGAATCAGTTAGGACCTGAGGTGTGAGGCTGTGTAATCGCCGTGCATTTGCTATTTCTTTCTTTTTTAACCTTTGTGTTTTGTTGCGTTGCTTCTTCCCTGTTAGCCTGCTTGGAAGATCCAGATGCTAGGGTTGATGAACGCGCCGGGCTCACGATGTCGCATCTACAGTAAAGCTAGCAGCTTGAGTGCCTCATGTCGGCAGACTTTGCCAAGCCCGGTGGCCATAACTCTGCGGGGACATCCAAGAACAGAACAACTGCTAACCACCAGCTCCTGCGAGTGTGTATATATATAATATTATATTAAATCTTGAAATGTATATATAGAGTATAAGGTGTGCAGTTCCTTACCCCTGACAGGCGGCAGTGACCACCACGTCCTTCATGCCTTTCGAGCGTGGGGCCGGCAAGTCCTGGTGACTCTTTTAGGGTTTAGGGTTTAGGGAATGTGGGAATGTGGGGCTTTGCATTTGGACCCGCCACCCCACGCCGCAGCTCGTGAGGGGGATTAGATATCAGTGGCTCGAGTAGTGTTCGGTCTTGTTGCTTTTGGATCTTGTTTCTAGGGCGCAGAACCCTGTTTTTGTTTCAGCTGTCGTGATTAGCCCTCCCAGTATTGGGTGGCGCATGAGGGCCGGGGGGGGGAGTGGAGGGGAGGGATGCTAAACTAGACAGGAAGCCTCGACCAAGACGCAAGATGACGCAAGATGAGAGGAGAGTTTTCGATCTGTCTCATCTCTTCAACCTCTAACTTGCTTTTGAGATGCGCGCTGTGAGGATCTGAATAATAAGCAGGAATTCGGAATGTACATCAAATCCTGCTGATTCCTAGCATGGGGGAGTGGGTGGGTCCTTGGCGCCATGCAGCTCCAGCATGCAGCTGACCCCGTGATGGACATCGTCTAACCTTGTGGCTTTGGGGCTTTCGCGGCTGGAGCAAATGCCCGACGCCGGAAATGCGTCACGGAGAATATATGGGGTTGAAACGGCTTTGAATGTCAGAAAGTTGGGATGGCAATGGGGTCCCAAAACCTCCCCGGACCCCAGCCCCCGAGAGACCCATATACATACAACAGAAACATGCGGAGTACTTCAAAGTTGCGGCTTGTCTTTCTTATTCTTAGGGGGCTGGTACTTGCGATCGCCTTGTCCAGAAGGGGACGGTTTTGTTTTTTCACCTTGCCCTTCGTTTCAGCACCTCAGAGCACTTCTTCGGTGAATCCCAACACCAAGGAGCTCATTGTCCGTCAAATACTGCGATCCAGTCCTCAGACATTTCGGGATGTACGAGCTTGGGGGTTAACATGGCGGGTTTTGGACTTGTTTCTGTGATTGATTCGCAGGTACTCAACCATTGGTGGTCCATGAGGCAGGGCTGTGTGAAACCACAACTGGCCAAATTGACGTTGACCTTGCTTCGGGACAAACCGTCCTTGGCCTAAACTGCTTGTGAAGCTTTGTAAACTGCGCACGCGAGCCTGCAGTAACTAGTGACTAGTGTCTTCAGTTCCAACAGGTGGCTCACAAAAATAACAAACACACAAAGCCGTGCCATCGGACCTGCATGTGGCCCACAAACCCGGACGATGTGAGAGGCGCTTTAGATAGCTGAGAAGGCCATGCGGGCTTGTTGGCAGGCAAAGAATTTGCTGGCTGAGAACAACTTAATCCTTTGCTCGCTCGCTCCCTGCTAGAATCTGCCAGTCTGTCGTCGAGTTCAACAAAGCCTCAGGCCCGCAACTTTAGGTTCAGGACGCTCGTAACCGTTTCTGCAATGAACAGGGCTAAAGGCTCTCTCGTTTCACTGCCGCAGGCAAGGGTTGGGGTGCTTCCGGGATGCAGGGAAGCGCCTGAGGCTCAGAAGTCTGCCCAATCTTCGGGTAGTTTCATGGCCCCGTAGTATGGACCCCTCAAAAGGGGACCCCGTTTCTACCCTACAAACCCAAGGGCCCATACTTCAGAACCCTTTAAAGAAGGTAAGGGAGCAGATGAAGGGCCCATGAAACCACCCTGAGAACCAAGAGTCAGCCTGCCAAGGCCAATGGAGTCCAGTATGGACCCGTTCGCCGCCTTGATGCAGGGTTTGGGGTTTAGGGTTTAGGGTTTAGGATTTAGGGTTTAGGGTAACCCCAGCCTGACCAGTCTGACATAAAAAATAAGCAGATGCCAAGGGAAGATCGAGCATGCTGAAGGCCCCAAGCCTTTAGGGTCCCAGGTGTCGAAAATCCCGTACCTTTTAGGGGGGGCTTCTGCAGATCCAAACCTTGACGGGCGCGTCCGCCGCATCCGGCACTCCCAGCTGGCTCGCATCTGGGTCCTTCGGTTTTTTGGGGCGAAGAAGGGTCTGCGCTTTCAAAAATACTCGTGTTTAGGGCAGATAGGATGTGTCTCGAGTTCATCACGATGCGGAGCGAGGGTCAAACGTTTAGGTTCTTGAGTAGGTGACGCTATGTAACGGAGTGAGACTTTTGGGCTCTCGAAGATCAGAAAGGCCGACGAAGGGTTTGCAATCTCATCTGCATAGCAGTCCTGATGCAGCAGGCGGATACACCAAATCAACGGGGAGTACTCATGCACAGATTCAAAACTCCATGACGGAGTTGACAAGCATTCGACAACCAGCGTCAACAAGCCGGATGTCCTCCTCAATTCGCAATTCGATCCCGCAAATCACATCGCCGTCTCTGCATACCTCGTAGGGCCAAGCCTGCGCAGCGTGACGTGGCGGCCGCAAGCGAGTTTGCAACTACAGGCTTTAAACATATCTGAATCTGAATGTGGGTTTGGGATGGTTTAGGGATTTTAAGGGTCTGTGTGTGTCTTCGGCCTTTCGCATCTTCGGGTACCAAATTTGGCAGTTCGCATCATGCAAGTCTGCGCTACTGCATTTGTTCATCCGCACGTTTTGAAGTTCTACAGCTGCAAACGAAGCCAATGTTAACTATGTTCAGCAGGTTTTGACTCATCTTTCATGAGTTGACATGTACTGCATGATCAACAACATAAACCCACCGCCGCACCTGCTTTGAGCGCGGGTCCAGCCGGTTGATCTGGCAAGCCCCAATGATGCTTCCTCCTCTTGGCTTGCAACGTTGGCGTGTGCTCACGATTAGTAAACAATCCGAAACATTTCGCCGTTTAACCTTTCAACTTTGCACATGATACCTATACGACCCCAAACTTGGGTAGGTTTGGGGGGGCCCTATCAAAATTAAAAGTGTGTGTGGCTTTATGGGGATTACAGAGGGGGCTTGAGGCTAATAAAGCTTTAAAAAAATATGTTCAAGCCTACCCCTGCTAAGGCCGCAAACCGAAGAGCTGTCTCGACCATGAGGCCTCGGAACTTTGGTTGGGGCTTGGGATGTTCCCCCTTATCATGGGGATTGCAGCACCCCCCCATTCCAATCCCCTATTAAGGGCTGTTCGTATAAGGGGAACATCCCAAGTTGGGACCCTCTTGAGGTGCAACTTGTGCTTGCAAGAGTAACAACAACTGGAAGCTCGAGTCGGACTGTGACCCGGTCTAATGTCTGGCTCCGGCTGGCCAAGCTCGGCGGCGGGACCTGCTGTCGTGAGCAGCACCGGAATGGGCCCCGCTGTGTACCCATGACCGTCCGAACTGCCCTGAGCGGGCCGCTCAGCGCACCCAGTGCTCACAGCTCACACTCCAGCAAGATCCCTACGGCGTTCTCTTGGCAGGTCCGCTGCAGCTGTCAGTGGGCCCAGGCTGGTGAACAGCGTGCACGCCCATCGGGTTGGGCTCTTAGAGGCTTGGGTTATTGGCTTGGTGCTTCTGGCACTGTTGGGTGGCCCGAAACCCCAAGAACAAAATCAAGTCCGGACCCTGACTGGGTCTTTCATTGAAGCGGTGGCTAAGACACATAGGAGCTTGTGAAGTTTATGGCTACCGATTCCTACATGGAATTGCTACAGAATTTAGGGATGTGATGTGTTGCAGCCCAGCGCTCCCATCATGCCGGAGAAGGATACCTCCACATGGATAGTCCGAGAGCTCGTCTTCGCCCTGCAAGCAAGTACACAAAAAGGTCAGTCCCTTGAAGGCTACACTTTAGGATGTTCCCCCTTATACTAACATTCCTCAATAGGGATTATGGTGGCCCCTATGTAATAATCCCTAGTGCCTATAAAGGACTGTTAGTATAAGGGGGAAAATCCCAAGCTACACTGTCTGCGCCTAGGGCCCCTTCCATTTCGGGAAGTTTACAGATGGCATTGGGTTTCAGGTACAACCATCCAGCGAATGAATGCCCAGAGATAAAATACCTCAAGCCCTGGAAACAAACAATACCTGCGAACACGGAATCCGCCGGAAGCCTCAATCAACGTGTGTCCTGAAGGCGCGTAAACGTCAACCCCTTGATTAGCAATCCTGCCTGACTGAGCCCAGACTCGGGGGGATGGCGAAAGTCTGGGATGGGGCATCGCCCAGATTGAAGTCGTCCATGCCTGAGTCGGATAGGATGCGAACTGTAGGCGTGGAAAGCGCAGGCGTGTCGGGACGTAGGGATTGCCCTGCATCCCAAAAACCAGTCTGGCAAGCAAAAACTTGAAAAAAACCAACCTAAGAACGATGGCCCACGTGCCCCGCCTTGTATGTCGTCACTGCATTTGAGCTCTCTGCTCTTGTGATCCAGGACACGCAGGAAGTACGTCTTGGCCCCAGCTCCGAAGAGTCCGGTCTCAACCGGCACATCCAGAAGCTTGGACACCACCACCATGCACTCCTTGGATCCTAACCCTAAACCCTAACCCCTAAACCCTAAACCCCAAACCCTAAACCCTAAACAGGCTTACGAGGCATTGAGTGCAAAAACGGTCCCAGGGTTCGGGTGGGTTATAGAGTTCGGATGCCCAGGCACCTTAGGCAGCACGTCGTCTGCACCCGGCGGCATGCTCGACATGGCGCTTGCAACCCCCAAAGACCCGAAAGGGCCTTCCATGGGGTTTTGAGGAGGCATGGTCTGAAATGGTGGTGCCATGCCGGGGAAGGCACCCTGGGAGGCCATGTGGCCGGAGGCCATGTGGCCGGAGGCCATGTTGCCGGAGGCCATGTGGCCGGAGGCCATGCCGCCGGGCGAAGGCGGGCCCCTGGAGCTAAAGCTTGGGCCGCCAGGAAGCGAGGGACCCTGGGAAGCGAAGTTGGGGTTGGACCCCTGCGAGTGGAAGCTGGTGGGCCCGCGGTGCCCTGGTGAAGGCATGGAGTCTGGGAGTGTGGTGTGGAACGCGGAGGGGTAGGCTCCTGGCCCTTGTGCGGGCATGCTCTCGGGCATCATCGTGCGAAAGTTCGGGTTGCTTGCATAGGGCCCTGCCGTTGGTGGCAATGAGGCAGACGCCATGGCATCCGCCCCAGAAATCTCTGACTCTTTGAACCGAAATTCTCCGGCCGAGGCGAGCTGAGGAACAGTGCAGCATGAGGCTTTCAAATTTGCTTAGGTCCTACGCCGTAGGAGAGCATGTGTTGGAAGCGTTTGCATAAAGGGATTCGAAAGGGGTTTGCAGGGGCAGGGCCATGTCAAGGACTGCTGTCAAAACTGGAAGTGTCGATCTAACAGGCAGCAATGCTGGAATGCATCGCGGTGTGACCCCACATCCTAAACGTCCCTATGCCCAGCAAGCATCCGTAATGCTTTACATGACTTTACTTGACTTCTACTGATTCTCCGGGCAGCTGTGCGAGTTCTAAGTGTTCAACCTCAAGTAGAGCTCTGCCAAGATTCGGGGTGCAGGGCTTTGCAGTCTAGGGCAACAAGCTAGCCGCTAGCCATGCAGACCTCCTCTGCGTCGGGAAGCACTTGGGCCCAGTAGCGCTTCAACTCCTGGCCACTTAGAGAATTTGTGGGTCGGAGGTTCCCAACGCCGCTACGCTTGGATCGGGATACCCAACACCGTAAACCCTAAACCCCAAACCCCAAACCCCACCCTGGCTGCTCGAGCTTGGGGCCGATCAGGCCCTCGGAGATTGATGGTGCTAGGGTTTCACAGCTTCTGGGTTTTGGAACTCGTCATTTTTTGTGGCTCCAGCTACGGGGGTTTAGAATATCAGCTGTACCTGCACAGAACAAAATAGCCTCAAGCCTGGACCTGCATAACTTCAGCCAACAAAGGCATCAGAAGGTCTTGTCGTCCACAGTCCAAGCTGCAATTGCCAATGGGGCAGAAACCAAACTTAACGGCCCAAGATAACCTAAGGTTTACTGTGTGCAGGCTCTGACACCCAGGCCTACAGCTCCTGTGAATCAGGCCACTACCCCCCCCCCCCCCCACCCCGGCCTCCCCTACAAGCTTCAAGTACTGCTACAAGGGCTTGTGCACACCACATTGCACAAAACTTGTTGTTTGCCAAATAGTTTACTGTCGAGCAATGCCCTCTGCATTGATTGCAGTGTGCAGACGATATCGCAGACCCTAACTTTCACACCACAGACTGGTTGCTTGTATTACAAAAAATGGATATCATGCCCTCGAGATCCCTCCAAAATCCCACAAGCACCTGCACCTGATCTGGCGTGGGGCTTGAGCCTGACCTGCTCAGAATCCCTCACCCAAGGGTTTGAGGTTCGGGGCGTTTCATACGAGGTATATTCATGTATGTCCTAGCCCTGAACACGAACTTGCCGCTTTCCAGGCCAAGGCCTCTTGCCATGAAGGATCTACAATCGTTTGCAAACTGCTTCTGATTTCCTTCGAGCTTTCTGGCCACCAGCCATCCGAGGTAACGCTTTTGGGGCTTGGGTGTACCTCATTCAGCGAGACCTTGACCCGCAAAACCAAACAAGTTGAACAGCTCATGCACATCTACTGATCCGCTTGATGAGCATGCTCCCCCAATATCCCCCAATGCAACTTAATGCCTCGAAACTCCGACACACGCCACCTCTGAGGTACCTGAGGCCTACACCACGATGGGAGCAGCGGCAGTGCTTCAAGGCACTCCCCAACCTTACAGCGTCGCGATCTTACGTGGTTTACGAGCTTGTGGAGGTCTGAGAGTGGTCTGGTTTGTTTAGGGCTCAAGGTTCGGAGCTGCCTTTCATGGGAAAGTTCAGGGCGTGGGCTTTTGGCATTCAGGACCGACGCGGCTCAGGAGCGATGATCGTCAAGCCACACACGTGCTGCGCATTGATTGCTTGCAGAAGTTTTAGCAGTTTCTGGGGTCAGCTATAACCTCCCGTTCGATGAAATGATCAACTCTTTTCTTGCTACAAGAACTCTGCGTCGACTGGTGTCGTCTCAACCAACATCGAATCCACAATCCGATAGCATGTTTTGAAACTCATGTCCAGCACATTGTGTCGCTCCCGTGCCCCTGCCCTAAGTTCCAGGCTGTTGTACGGGCAGCAACCATATCCTTGCAAATGCCCACGTGACCCGTGGACCGTGCGATGAACTAGTAGTCAGCAATCAGGGGTTGCGTTGCGCCGCCTCCATGCCGGCACGACTTCAACACAATCGAATGGTTTGAGTTGAAGTGCCACAGTTGTTTCGTTTCAAGTATTGGTGTTGTTCTTGGATCACACGCAATCATAATGCGCATGATCCAAGTGCAGTCCACATGTCTATTAGGGGTCCCGCGTCCTTCACCTTGGGTTTTATTCAGTGTATTTCTTGCCTCCACTTTTTGGCATGTACCACATGCTGTTTACATCGGTATTGAAAATTTACAATGTTTCACGTGCTTCGTTTTTCACGCGTGTTCATCGGGGGGGGAGGGTGGAGGGGGCTATAACGGCCATGCTACTGACGCCGCATGTGGTACCGGAGCGTCCATGGCCGAACCACTTGAGACTTCAAGCTTGAGGGCTTCAAGGTGCCCAAAGGCATCTGTCACACCGGGTGCGGCAAAAGGGTAGTAGTAGCAGTAGCAGTAGCCGCAGCAGCAGCAGCAGGAGCAGTAGTAGGAGTAGTAGTCGTCGTTGTTGCAGTCGCAGTGGTACTGGGAATGGTAGTGGTAGTGGTGGGAGTAGTAGGAGCACTAGCAGTAGTATCACTGGAGGGCCCCCAGATGATCTCCCCAATGCCCGGCAATTGCGTAGCTGTCTTAGGTTTAGGGCTGGGGGATGTTTGACGTCAATCATTTGGATGTTGTTTCTGATACCAGGGACAGGCAGAGATGAGGAGGGACAGAGGAAGAGGAGAAGAGAGAGAGAGAGGCGGAGAGGAGTAAGCGGGAGATGCGACACTTGACAGCGTGCACAGCGAATATGGTTGCTGGCTTGACGAACACGTTTGAAGCCCAACTCGGTCCAAGTGTGGCCTCCTCACAAACAAATCCAAGCACGGCGTCAAGTTCATCGAGGAGTCGGGAGCCGGCTCCTGCAACGAATCTGCCAGCTTAAAAACTGGAACACATTGTCATGAGCTGTACATTCTGTGCTGCCTTCCCCCAGCCCCCCACCCTGTATCAAATCGACCATACAAAGCACTAAATCCTGCACTAACCCCTAGGCACTAGACCATGGGCAACCCACGCGGGGAGACAGGCGATGGGACTGCTTCGGTGCAAGCATAGAAGCTGCACCAGGCATCATTGGCAGATGGTCTGCATGACTTAAAGGCGTTGTGTTCGGGTTGCAACGTGCTCGACATTTGCTTGGTTTGTTCGTTTCCGATGCAACATGGCAATGCGCCGCATCTTTGAGGGCTGATCACCTGCCAAGTAACACACCCTGCGAATGAGCCCCCAAAGTCCAAGAAAAGAATCCTACAGGCGATCATGGTACCCTTGAATCATGCCCGACACATCAGCACATTTACCAAAGAGGAAGTGGTGGGTCTGCACAAAACCGAGTAAAGCCGTACCGGGTTCTTCTGGCAATCGTTCTCTGATGCACATGCAAGAGCCATATTAGTGGCGACTAAGGGCACAGGTCATTCGGGTTGGTTTAGGGTGTAGGGTTGCATTATTTTTAGGGTTTAGAGTTTAGGGTTCAGAGCAAGGATTGTTCTGGACCAGGGCGGTTAAATGTCTAAGCAGAGGACCATGCAACATGGCGCACTTCACGAGGCTGAGATCCAAACAAACCAGCGTCTGCCCACCGCACGGAATGTTTGGGTTTAGGGTTTAGGGTTTAGGGTTTAGGGTTTAGGGTTTAGGGTTTAGGGTTTAGGGTTGACAAACAATGCCGATCACGGTACTCCCGAGACGACTGTGTCGCTGGTGTCCCTTAGCTCCCTTCTCCCCGCGATATTCCACCCCTCGCCATTGCCCACCCATGCTCCGCACATCCTTCTGTAGATTTGCTATTGCGGCGGTTGTTGGCCGGGTAGCTAAAGAAGCTGGCTCGGAATCAACAGATACAAACAAACCCTGAAGCTCAGCCTACCCAGCCCGGAACTTCTTCTCCGTTCGACAACCTAGAACGCCTCACCTTCAACACTTCAAAAGGCAGCAGCTGCGCCTGGCAGCTTGCCACTTAAAGCTGCAATGATCCGGTCCCCACGCCTGGCAGGATTTCAGGATATAGGATGTGGCCCCCCTTCCTATATGAACATGTACACATGTGCACATACATACATTTTTACTTTCCTAATATGTCTATGCATATCTTCCTAGTATACATGTACGTCATACTTTTATGTGCTACATGGCACAACGATCCAGCTTTAACACTAAGACGAGCACGCCAGGCACCAGCGGGTTTAGTGGGTCTGACGGCTTTATCGGGTTTATAGATGCGCAGCGGAAGCACGGATTGCTGGAACCAAGGATTTTGGATTGTGGGTTTGTGTAGGAGGAGGAGAAGGAAGAAGTGGAGGCAGCGAGGGGTCCCTTCACAACAGAAAGGCCTCAATACTTCCAACAAAAATAGGGATAAACAGCCCACGCCAAGTAAAGACATATCGATTCTCCTTGCATTTCGAGTCCAAACTTTCGAAGATGACGGCTGCCACTACCGAAGCCCAAAACCTATAACATAGGGGCCTGAATAATTAAAATTAGACTAGGGTCTTGGGGGCTTGTATAGTACAATTATCTAGGGACCATAAGGGAACACTGCTGAATATTCCGACCCCTCTATTATGCTCTAAACCCTGAGCCCTAAACCTAAACCCTAAACCCCAAACCCTGGCGTGGGCGCCCTGCCTTGCGAGCCGCAGCTCCGGCGTCTCCGCAACCTCCCCCAGGGCCGGGATCTCGACTTCAGAAATGAGCTCCTGGGCACGTGGGTTTAGGGTTTAGGGTTTCGGGCTTAGGGTTCAGGATTCTTCAACTCCGGTTTTTTTGCATGAAGGCCACAGAGGCTGGAGGTTGCTTGTTTAGGGTTTAGGGTTTAGGGTTCAGGGTTTATAGGGTTTAGGGTTTAGGGGTGCTACCAACTTATTGTGTTCAAGGGATTGAGAGGTTCCCGCATCAGGGCTTGGGATGGGTATGGACTCAGTCTCTAACAATCTCTCCCACGGATCTTGCAAACGCTACTGGGGTGCTGCGTGGCGACCAACGCTCCCAAGCACCGACGATGTCAGCACAAGGGCACAACCCTAAAAACACTCTGAAAAATATTCCTGATTATGATCCTCTTAAACCAAGAAGGGAAAAGCAGTCTAAGCCCCGAGAGGTTGGGGTCTCAACTGCCTAAACCCCCTACTCACGGCAGCCAAGTCGTTCGACTTTGCTCCTTCAGGTGGTGTATGCCACCATTTTGTATACTCCCCTTAGAACCTTAATCAAAATAATATTTTTCAATATCCTCTTGGGTTTTACATGAACAAAAATGAAAAATAATTCCCAAGGGGGATATAGTTTTCTTTTTCTCATTCTGGAATGTGGCCAATGGCTGACAGTCGTGCGCCAGTCGAGCCAAGCTCATGCAAAAACATCTTGGACAGCCGCTGATAAGCTGTTTCGCCATCACTGAACCCTTCCTAATTGAAAAAGTCCTTTTCCAGGCAACACTCGTGAATCACCTCCGTTTCGAAACCCTCTGCCATGCTATTCAAAGATTGCCACGCAGCCAGTAGTATCTGTGTCGTGGTGATGGGGAACCAGCTATTTCGCGCACATTCTGCAGTCGCTATTCACATGTCCACTTCCAAGATTATGCTGAAGGCTCTTCAGCGCCAAGCCTTGTGCCTAGTGCCTAGTTCTGCCGCATGACTAACCTGTCTATCCTCGAAGTCCAACAGATTGGCGCGTGACAAAGAGAAGGAGACGACCAGGGCCGTGGCGAGTCCAGTCTTTTCCAGGAGGTTCGAGGGCAGCGCGGGTGCGTTGTCGAAGAGCCAAGCGCAATCGAACAAGGGCCTTGGCGGCGGTTCTTGCGATTTCGAAGCCGAGAAGCCCTCCTTTTGGTAAGGCATACCTGCAGGACTCGAGAATGCGACAGTATGTGGCAGTATGACCCTCCAAAGTGCGTTCCTTCAGACTTCAGACGAAGAGGTGCTCAGAACCATCGAACAATCACGTGCTGTCAGACTTGACCAGTTTGAGATTTCAAGATGGCTACTTGACATGTCCACTGCGAAACCCATGCCTATCCGCTCAGCGTGCTGGGTGCGCCAGCCGTCCATTCGGCAGGCCCGACCAGCCTCTGATCCTCAAATTGATGAGTGCATCGTATCCATTTTTTTTAGGGAAAAGTGTCTGGTTTGGGATGTTCCCCCTTATACTAACAGTCCTTAATCAGGATTAATAGTACGTACCCCCCCCCCCCCCCATTATAGCCCCTATTAAGCACTGTCAGTATAGTAAGGGGGAACATCCCAGGGTCTAGAATTAGCCGCGCCTAGGGGACGGGATGTCGTTGCAGTCTGCCTTGTACGCTTTTATGTCTAACGGCTAGAGGCCAACTGTTTAGTCGCATGCTTGTACAGTACCTCGTCCCATCTGGGTGTTGTATCCTCATAATCTGACTAATTCCTACAGCAAGAATCAGGAACACAGATCTATCAAAGCGTGAGATTGGGCGACAGGGTTTCTACGGGGTGTGCGGTAGACACTCATACATGCCTGCAAGCTGAGAACCGTTGGGCCGTGCATTTTCAGAAACAATGCTGCTCAACAATGCTGTAAGATGGAGCACTCTACATGACGACTAGGACTTTTACTGCGGTCCACGGCCATGGCGACGGCAAGTGCAGCAACGACCGTCTGGACAACGACTGCTAACCCCGCGCCTGCTGCTGCTGCTGCCCTTATAGAAACAGTCCTTAATAGGGATTAATAGTACCCCCTATATCCCCCTTTTCTTAATCGTGTCCTGTTAAGGACCACCACTACGACTGGGACTACTGTACATGAGACAAGGAATCCCAGACTCCTGAGTTCCCATGCAGCCAGGTCGCTGTGACAGCGAGGCCTCCAGGGGAGAGGCGATGAGACCAAGCAGCCCACGCTGCACCTGTCTTGATGCTTGGGAACTTCCTTGAACACCAAATGAACCGGTTTAGGGTTTAGGGTTTAAATTGGGGTCATTTTCCCTATACTACTATATTCCTGTTAAGGTATGTGAGCCATGAACCGCCAAGGTTAGGACTTAGGATATCAAGTTCAACATTTTCGTTTTCATGAACAGCTCATGAAAATCGAGAACTTGTAGCGGGCGTAGTTTTTTTTTATGAAGAACCATTGTTGACAAGGTCTCGAACTCTCTGGAGAATTCTGGGGCATCGGAAGTGGGTGTCAGGATGATTCCAGGGCTTGGACACCTTTAGGCAGTTGTGGATACCCGGCTTCAGGCATGTTTGCTTCTCATTCACAATTAAAGGGGCCCTGGCAGAACCACTTGCGCACCTGCACGGTATCTGATAGGGCAATATAGGGGTCGGAGTAATTACTAGCAGTATTCCTTTATACTTATACAACAAGAACACCCAAGGCCCAAAACCCTACTCTAATTGTGTAGGCCCCTATAGTAGCTACTATAGATGTAGTCAGCACGACAGCTTCAGTCGGGAGCCTCTGCTGCAAAGCTCTGCACAGTCTGCCACTCATCGGTGAGTCGCAGCCGTAGGGGCAGCAACGACAAGGCGCACCTGGCTTCGGTTAGGGTTTAGGGTTTAGGGTTTAGGGTTTAGGGTTTAGAGGGTTTAGAGGGTTTAGAGGGTTTAGGGTTTAGGGTTTAGGGTTTAGGGTTCAGGGTTTATATAGGGTTTAGGGTCCAGCTTTCAAGCTGTAGGGTCCAGCTTCGCAAACCTGCGCTTTGCAGCTTTGCTTGCTTGAAAAGCAGCCGTTCTCAAACCGGTGGGTGCTGCTTATGAAGCGACCTGCGTTGTGTTCCCTGAAACTCTGTCAGGCACACCCGAGCGCATCCTCACCGACAGCCTGGCAAAGTCTTAGGATTTGGTCCGTTGTTCGGGAGCGTTTGCTACAGCTTGCAGAGACTAATCCACGCAATAGTTGGGCTTGCAGTTTTGGATGGATAACTTCGATCCCATCTGTCAAAGTTTGGCTCCATATAGTGAGCTTTTGCCTGCAGGGTGAATCTGCATCGTACGCCGTTGGCAGCACAATCTCCAAAAAAATAGCGATGTTGCGCAGAAGCATCGGCGTTCATGCGTTCCAGGTGCTTCCGACTGTTGAGCGTTGCCCGGTGCCCGTGCTGGCGTTGAACAGACTCAGTGACTCAACAGGGACAACACCTGGGAGACACGAGCAGGGGTACCAGAGTAGACAAGTGGACACATCCACAACAAATGATGGACAAGCACAAAAAGACAGAACTGTGTGTGATGCTTCACAGGGCAGGCTCCCGGAACATGAAAACATTCCATACTCCACATACTGGCTACGCGCGGTGCCTTCCTCGAGTCTTCCCCCTGCCCCAGTTAAGTTCACCGAACTATGCAAAGTGCCATGCTCATCTTCTGAAAGATTCCTGGAATGCCCTTCCCTAGCATGTCCAAGTCCAAGGAGTGCAAATTGCGTAGCGGATGCGTTCACGAATCCTGACCTTGCTCAGTTGCTCAAGGCGGAAGTTGCGCATGCATGGGCTGTGGCAGAGCGACGCAAGCGAAGGAAGGGTCCAAAGGACTTCAACACAACCTGTGTCCAGGCCACTGAAGTCCGAAAGAAATTACGCAGAGCTCTCCGTGCTTTCAAAGACAGACCCTAAACCCTGAACGGCCTTGCGAAACCCCCGCCTCTCGCCCGGAGAGTACAGTCCCCATGGCAAGGTCATAGCGCCGCGAGGCCCGGGCGTAGACCTAGCATGTCATCGAGATTCCGATGGCTTCAGCTGGTGTTGCAGGATACATATGCACAGATAGATACGAATATATATATATATATATATAGATAAATATGTATAGAGGGAGAGAGAGAGAGAGAGAGAGCGAGAAAAATAAAATAAAAACAAAAAGAAAGCAAAAGAACGACATTCCTGAGCCGCGAATCACCGCAACAGCTATCGCATCGCCAGGCCGGTGTCACCAGTGTCCAGGACGCAAGCAGCAGAGCCTGGCTCCGGGTGTGCAATGGGTTTAGGGTTTAGGGTTTAGGGTTTAGGGTTGGGTTCGGCCGGTCCACACTAACAGTCACCACCAGCAGACCCACAAATAAAAGCACCCGGTAAATGCCAAAAAAAATTGACTGAGATTCCTGCTATTCCTGGTGCTATTCCTGGTGCTATTTCTGGTGCTATTTCTGGTGCTATTTCTGGTGCATTTTTTGTGCTATTCCTGGTGCAATTTCTGGTGCTATTTTTTGTGCTATTGTTTGTGCTATTTCTGGTGCTATTTTTTGTGCTATTGTTTGTGCTATTTCTGGTGCTATTTCTGATGCTGTTGCTGGTGCTACGTGACTAACAATCACCATCAGCAGACCCACAAAAAACAGCACCCGGTAAATGCTAAGCTGCTAAAATTGACTGGGATTCCTGGTGCTATTTCTGGTGCTATTGTTTGTGCTATTTCTGGTGCTATTTTTTGTGCTATTCCTGGCGCTATTTCTGGTGCTATTTTTTGTGCTATTGTTTGTGCTATTTCTGGTGCTATTTCTGCTGCTATGTGACTAACAGTCACCACCAGCAGACCCACAAAAAGAAGCACCCGGTAAATGCTAAAATTGACTGGGATTCCTGGTGCTATTTTTGGCCTGTGTGTTATAAGGCCACGGCGTTATTTGACTGTTAGTGTGGACCGGCCGAACCCAAGTTTAGGGTTTAGGGTTTAGGGCCTGAAGGATCTTCTGAAAAAACTGACAAAACTCGCGCGGAAATCCCCTCTCCCCAGCCATGACATGAGGATTTCCGAAAATAGGGGGTGCCTTTTCCGGGGTTATAAAAAGGAATCCTACTCTTTGGGGTCTATGTTAAGGGCCCCCCCAGTTTCGTAAACCCCCCATATCTGCACCAGTGGACCTGTTTGGACCCTGGGCTGCAGGTCTAGGGCCAGGTTGCAAGATGCACGACTGCAAGGGCGGCGAAACGATGATCACCACGGCACCCAAAGCCCGAAACCAAAGAGCCGCAGGCCCTTTAGGGTTTAGGGTTTAGGGTTTAGGGCTTAGGGTTTAGGAAACCAACCCTATTCGGCGAACAGTTCTGCGGGCCTCAGACCCCGGAAAATGCAGCTAGGACAGGATTTATGCGTGCAATCTTGTGGGGCTTGGGTTTGGAGATGTTTGGAGTCTAGGGGTGCAGGGTGCACCCTTCATGTCCTCGATCGCACATACAACAGTTTCGCCAAAAGCATGACCCCAAAAGTCTGAACTTAAAGCTAGAAGTGCTGCATAACAAATAGCACGCCATCGCGCAGCCAAACTTTCCCTGCTGGTATTCTTCATCATCTGGGTGTCTCCCAAAATAGGGGTACCCCTTTAATACCCCAAACAGAATAACAGGAACCCTCAAGAAGAGTACCCCATTTTCGGAAACGAACATGACAACTGCACAAGTGGTACTCAGGAGCCCACCGAAGGCATCAAGCGCATGGCCTGGAATCGCTGCTCGGGTGGGTGCTTTACATGTGTGGTCTTCATACGAAAAAGGATGCGGGTGACGAGTCCATAAGGTTTACCCTAAACCCTCCCTAAACAGGGCCCTTGGTGGCCAGGGTGCTTAATGTACAGTAGTGCTTGTTGCTTGGGACATTTGGATGGGATGTACCGGAATCTACACCCTGGCTCCCTCCAAGTCGCGCTCCCGATGCAAGGTTCCGATTCTACAATGTATCTTGCATACCTTGCCCAAGACAAGGCTATCCAGATGTGCTGGTGCCCCGAGGTAGGACCTTTCCGTGTCAAGGGTAGTCTCTCAAGATCTCAGGATGCCTGTAATATGGCTCACAGGCATTCGCTTGCAACACTCACGTTCCAAAAAAATGGCAAGAAAGCGCACTGAACCCGAGCTGTTGCAAGTACGTTGAACTGTGGGCCGCGCCGCCGCTGCCTCGCTCAGGCGGCCCCAGGTCATCTTGAGCCTGCTGTTTAGGAAGGGAGCCCAACTCGCACAACCTCACAGCATGTCAAGCGCAAGGCCTGGGCGAGACTCTAGCCAGGTTTGCAGTTCCCAACACACGTGGGTCAGGGACTGAAGGCTCTGCATTGAAGATGTTGGGCTGTATGGCCTCAGGATGGAGTTGTAGGCGTATCCCTTTGTCTCAAGCCCATAATGAAAGCGCACTGCTTCTTGCCTTTAGACGGAACGAAGCCCGTTGCCCATCTCGAACAAAAGCGGTCTTTTTTTCTCTTTTAAAGCTGCGTTGTTATGCGTTGTTCTCTCTTGCTTGTCGGATGCAGAAGAACCTGCCTGGCGAGGTTGTGCTGCTCTAGGTTGTGCCTATGACATCTTACAGCCGCTCTTGAATGCTTGGACTGGGGTTCGCTGTGTCCTCGTCGCGTCATGATCGATCCGGGATCTCAAAACTCTCTTCACTACTATGAACATACCAGACTGGTCCAGGCAGTTGCAGGCTCGCATATGTTCGCATGTGCAGCATAGGCCTTAAGGGTGCAAGGGCCTGTGGGCTTTGGTGCGTGCATATTCCGTGCCAAAAGGCACCGCCCGACCAAGAATCAGACAAGTAAAAAAGCTCAACGGACTGCTGTCGAGCTCCAACAGCCCAACAGGCAGCTAGCAAGCACTTGCTGAAAGCAGCACTTGCAATGTGGCGCCAGAGAAGCCATGATAATGTGTAGCAACTTAAAATCAGAGCACCGACAAAATCACGCGCCACCTCGGGTATCTGCCGTTAACTGCCCAATTCCCCCCCCCCCCCCCCCTCCCTGTCCAGGCCTGCGTGGGCCGACTGTCTCTGGGGTCGTCGCTTCTAGCTCTGGGGGACACCTGCAGCAATGATCCGAGCATCTGCCAAGTCTGTTTGAAAAAACAAGCCAATGCCTCTTCGAGTTTAATGCCTGCGAATTTGAAGGCAGTTTTTATACCCGGAGGAGGAAGCCCGATGGTGGTTCAGGGCTTGCGACAATTCCCCCACACATCGTATGAACACGATAATATTGCAATCCAACATCTTGTAAGCCATCCCAGACCAACCGGAGAGTCTCAAAGCTCCAGCCCCTTTGCCCGACCTGCTCCGATTGAAGCCTCCAAGCCCCTTCCGCCTGAATCCCTCCATGGCTTGACGCCAGCGCTTGGCTTCTTCTGCCTCTGCGGGTTTTGGAGTGTCCGGTCAGCATGAGATGCACCACGATGCACGGGCATCGTTAAAGATTCTATGCGGTCGGCAACTCATGCTCGAAGCGCTCATCTCCATAGACCCTGCAAGCATCTTTTGCCAGGACCTGAAAGTTCGCTGTTGTCCACCTCAAAACCCTGCACAGGGAACGCAGGACCCAGCCGCCTCGTTGCCTACTCTGGCGTTGACTGATGGCGCGGGTCTTTCCGGAACCTTGGTGGAATTCGCCACAAAACATGTCGCAGGAGCAATTGGTCATCTAATCGAATCCATCAATGAGCTGGTGAAGAGATGAAAACTTGCGAGATCAAGGGTTCCGGGCTGGCCACGTGTGCCAAGCATGGGGAGCTTTTCGGAGACCTTCGAGCTCTTAGCCGCATGATTATAGCCAGTGTGACAAACCAGCAGGCCAGTAGGGTCTTGACTCGCCCTTTATAGTTTGGGAAATCCACCAATGCAATCCGTTAAGCCATGAAACACAGGCGCACTTCTACCTTTTTGTCTCAGAGGGCTTGAGTGCGATAGGTGCAACATACATGAAGGCAAAAGTGGCAAGGAGGTCCGAATATAAAATACACCCCCCTCGTCGAAGCGTGAAATGCTGAGGCGCTGTCAACGAAGCCACGGCGAACACAGTTTGTGCCGCATTGCCTTTTCTACTGCATGTTCAGAGCACTGTAGCCCGAGGTGTGAATTCCGAAAACACACCGCCGATCACCGCACACCGACTTCAAAAATATTCCGGCCAGCCCTAAGAGGCGGCGTATTCTTTGTTTGGTTCCGTTTGCTGGAACGTCGGCGGGGATACAGACACGGTATGAGCAAACACTGCAAAAAAAAAACACAACGCGTGCCGCAAAAGAGGAAAACATGGCGATGGCAAACGTGTTGTGCAAACGCAAAATGTGGAAAATTACCACCTGCGGCTATGATCATAGCGCCATGGAGTGTGGCGATCTTGCTGCCAGCTGCTCCAGTCACTTTCAGACCATCGATTCTCAGAGCGCCAGTCTCCCGACCACCAAGTTCCGTGGTCAGACCAGCCCCACGTTGAGGACGACCATACATCGGCCTCCTCATGGCGAGGGGCGTTGCGCTCCTGCTGCCGGGCACGACGTTCATCCGCGAGCCTTTGTGCTGCACGTGAGGCCTCGGCGTCATCTTTCATCTGGCCAACCAATGTTCTCGCTGCGGAATGGTTGTCACGAACCACCGCCTTCAGGAAGACCTTGATGTCGCCGGCCTCAGTCGCATGTGGGAGCTCAATGGTGCCTTCGCAGAAGGTAAGGATATGGCTCACCCCCCTCGTAAAGAAGGCGACGCGAGAGAAATCCTCAACACCATAGAAGCTACCAAGCCAGGCAAAACCGATGGGCTCCTCCTGGTCATTCGACAATAATCCGGCCTGGATGAGATCACCGGCGGGCTTGTCGAAGTACACCATGCGGCAAAGTGCCGTGTGGTCCACTTGGCTTGCTTCCAAACGACGGCTCGATCCGTAACCCAATGCTCTCTGTTCACGATTGCGGCCAGGATTCGGGAGATAAGCGAAAGCAACGCACTCCTGAATTGACAACAACCGGCGTGTCCATCCATTTCGGACCGCGTAAATGGCATAGTTGTGGTCAGAATCGAACTTGTCGAGCATGCCAGAGTGTCCTTGGCCGCGGAAGTGCTTAAGGCTTTGCTTTGCTTGAGCAATAGCCTTTCCATCGACAGACTGAGCGCCGCGGTTGTCGTGCTGCCCTGAGCCCCGGCGTACCTGGTCAGCCGTCAGCTGCCAGAGCCGGTAGCCAGTTTCCTGGGCGATCTGGTCGAGGACGTCGTTGCGCTTGCGGCTCATAAACATGCGGAACGTTGACTGCCTACTTCCTTTGGTCAAGAAGCAGCCACAATGGAAGCAACGATGCTGCCCTTCCAAACGCAGGTTGCCGCAATGATCGCACTGGATGCGGGTCAGGCTCCCGGCGCGCTGAGTACCAGCCGCTTGACCAGAGGATGCTGCACCAACATCTGCATCGTCACCAGCGACGATCTCGATATATCCAGCAGTCGACCTAGTAGGTGAAATCTCCTGGATGTCAATGTCGGTGTTGAACGTCACCCTCGGGCCTTCGGGAACATCTTCGTCTGTACCCAAAGCATCCGCCGCAACTGGGAGCTCGACCTTGATGATTGGCTTGATCGCAACGTCTTCAGGCTCCTCGTCCTCGAGCTCGTAGATGAGCTCCACGGTATCTTGTGGTTCGTCTCCACCGGCGGGAAGAGTAAAACCGGCCTCCTCAGATTGAGGGGCATCAGTTTCCTCGACTCTGCTCCAGATGACGGTGTCAGACGCCGTGTCCCGTATGTACAGCACGCAGCTGCCAGGGACCGACTGACTGGAGAGCACACCTTCTGATCTGGAGTAAAAGAGCCCCACGCCAAGTCGGAGAGCCTCACGTGTGTCAACCACAAGCTCGAAAGGTCGATCGGCACGTACACCAGCACGATTTTCGTGATGTCCGACTTCGCGATCAGAAAAATACACATGGGCGTTGGCTGTTCGGTAGCCGGGGTAGAAGGCTGTTTGCACAATCTTGAAGGCGCGGTCCTTGAATGTTCTGTGGTAGAGACGTTTGGGAGTCTCTTCCCAGCAAAGGACCGGCCTACCTTCAAAGGTGGCGTCGTGGTCACTCATCTCATTCTTCGGGATACACGACAGCCAGCAGTCGCAAATTTGCTCGTCGGACGCAGTCTCCATCAAACCTTTTGAATGCCCCTGCCTAGCCCGTATAAGCACAGGGTATCCGGCCAGACCATAGTAGTCGGCGAGTTGATGGTTTCTGTCGGCCTTGAGCTCAAAGCGACCCTTGTTGTCGTTCTTCACCATGGACAACAAGATGCCAAGACCGTAGCTGGTGCCGCAATCATAGTTCACACGATCGAGAACATCACGGGTCCGACACCAAAGCTCCGAGTCGTGCATGTCGTCGTAGATTTTGCCTCTAACGACCCCGGTCACATAATTCCGAGTCCCACGCGGAATTGGCACAGTGGAAAAATTGGGGAGATCCTCAGGGGACAGGATCACCCAGTCGGCCTCATCATCGGATGGGCGTTGTGCGATCGTGTCCCAGTCGAGGCCCAACATGTCGACGAGCTGGAAGTCATCGGACACCCTGAGGTATCCTGTGGGGATAACTTCGTCGCCGCTTCCACTGGTCTTCGCCTTCTTCGGCTGTGATGGCCCAATCTCTGCGGCTGCGGCTGTAGAAGATGCAGACGATGCTTTGTCGAACACCTCGCCGCGCCCAAGCAAACGTTGCTTGGTTGCCTCAGGGTCCCGGTTTGTGGCAGCCCGCGATGCAGCGATGACGGCCTCCCCAGGGCGGGGGGCGTTGTCGACTGCTTCTTGCTGGCTAGCCTCGAATTGAGACCTTGGGACGTATTCGCCGCTTTCCAATCGAACCATGTTGGGGAACTCGCGGTCCTGCAGGCGGATTGGTGCCCCAGATGGGAAGCTCTCCGCCGGGCCATCAAAATAGACGTCGTCCCACGGATCGGCCTCGACCAGTGGCTGGTAGACCTCTCTTGCCCTCGTCCTCTGCAGCCTCTTGAAGATCTGGTCATCAATCTGCGCGCCCACGGCGAACCGAGCATTCGGTCGCGGGACGTGCTGGTAATTCACCAGTGTGCGATCCAGGTCCTCAGTGCGGAAAAACGAGCATTGATGGCGCAGCACCATGATTCGAGCCGTGGCTCCAATCCACCGAAGCAGTTGCCGTCGATGATTGGTGTCCTCAAGGAAGTGATATGAGTCGTACTTCCTGATTTGGGTTGCAGGCACATTAAAGTTTTTCACGGCCAGCCCAATCTGGGCGGCATAGTCAAGAATCTCCTCCATCAAAGTGCCCCACTCTCTCGGGAGAAAGTAGGCCTTGTGGTCCGTCGCAGAGGTGAGGAGGACGGTACCAACGTGGGGGCGCTTCTGGAGTTCCTTGAGCTTGTGCAACTCACGCAGAATTTTGGGGCCTATGAAGCTCCACTGTCCTTGCGCGACATGCGGCTTTCCCCTCCAATGCTCAGTTGAAGGTTTATAGTTCGGATCCAAGAACAGCCCCTTTTCGCCCACAAGTTCATTTGCGTTCCAGACGATCATCACATCCACCGACAAGGTCTTGTCGATTGCACCAGCCCTCTCCCACATGTTGATCTTGTCAACGGCGAGCTGTACCAGCCGCGTGAGATTGGACTCCCATGACGGGATGTACTCGACTCCTTGAAAGTCGGGAAACACATTGGTGCGGTTGACAGTGATGTCGGCGTGCAAATCGGTCTTGTAGTTCCCCTCAGTCAGGAAAGTGGTAGACGAGTCAGCAACGATGATCAATGAGCGCAAGCGGCCACGAATGTGTTCGGGCTGGAGCATGGCAAGGCCTTGATCACTAAGTAAGCCGACTTTTGCCACATTCCCGCATTCCGCGGGATTCTTGAAGGCAAATTCACAAAGTACAGGACGCGGCACATATTTGTAAAACTCGTTCACGGCGTGCTCGCCGTCCTCCAGTGCTGCCATGGTCCGATATTCCGAACAAAGAGCGGTCTCAGTGAGACGACGTGCCCACCAGCTGAAAAGCACCTCCGTTGGTGCAACGATGCCAGCGGTGGTTCGCTCCATGTTCGGCGAGCAGTGGACTGCCGCGATGGCGCAGCAGGCAACTAAGGTGTTTGTAGTCCCGAAATCACACGTGCTAGTTTCGGTGCGAGTCTGCAACAAAATGTTGATAGCACATGCGGAATGTTTCGAAAGACTGTCACAAAACACTTTCCAGTCATGGTGAATGCAATCAGTCATGACGTAGGTGTAGCTCTCAGAGTTCCTAAGGTCCTTGCCCCTAGACTCTCCGCGTTTGTGATTGTGATCACACCTGTGAGCTGCCAGCCGCTGCATTGGAACAGAGGATGCAACGATCCATGCCTTCCTTAGTGGGAGTCCTTGGTGATCCAAGATCCCTAGCATGCATCCGTCACAACGATACAGCTCAAGATCGTAATCCTGAATCAGCTTTTGCACTTCACCCCACTTCCAATAATCACACTCTTTCGGGAGCTCAAAAGCAACCTGTGGTTTGAAAGTTTTCATTCTGCGCAAGAGAGACCTAAGCTGTTTCAACAGTTCAATGAACAAGCTTTGGTGTTGCTGCCATTTGGGGCTGTTAGGAGTCATTCTG